GGGGGTGAAAATTGTTCACTGGCAATTGCTGGAAAACAATTTAAAACAGAGGAAAACCTCTTTTGATCTAGATGTAACCCAGGTATCAATTCACAGGAGGGCAGATCATCACCAGGACTGACAGCACCATACAGCTTCTTTGTGGCTTTACACCACATGGGACACCAGAACAGCCTTCACTGTCTTCTCCCATTGTTCCTTCTGTCTGCTCTGTACTTACACCAAAAGCATTCAGGTAATCCATAGGTCTCCAGCCAGATTGACTACGTGGACAACTGTGATTGCCAATGAACACAGTTCCGGTGATACTTCTCTGTGCTTTCTCACCCTCTCATTTCAAATCGGCTTGAGTCCACCAAGAACAGCTGATCACCAGCAGCAACATCGTCAGGTCACTACCTGCCTGGCATGGATCAGTGACCTTGAATTATGCCTCCATAGCAGACAGCAAGGCTGGAAAAGTCAGGAGATGCCAGAAGAATGTGTAGCAGCCTCTGTGAACTCTCCAATTCTCCTTGTTAAACAACACATATTTTGAAAATTGGATTTTCCCACAGATCTGTTGTGATTTTTTCAAAAATAATGTTTTGCAATATCCTTAAATAGTTACATTCCAATTGTTGTTATTACTATGGATTACAAATGAAATTCTGGCCTTTCATCTGCTGAGGGGGCTTTCTTTCAACCCACAGTTTTAGAAAGAAGTCTCAATTTTAAGAAACATGAAAGACTCCTTCATCTAGATATCATCATTTAAAACTGGTGGGTTAAGAACTGAGTTATAACATGATGGGAAAAATACTTTTACATGATTAATGATTTGCATATCGGATTATTAAATGAAAATCTATCAAACTAACATTTATTGAAGTAAACAAACAGTCTATCTGCCCTGTTTCTGGAAACATTTTGCCTAAGGGAAAGATTTAAACCTGGGCAGATAATCAGGATAAGGTATTTGAACACTTAAATCCTGCTGGAGTCTTCAAAGTAGGTGTTAAGTGGTGCATTAAATTTGTGCTGTTTCTTCTGAGCAGGGTGAATTTGCTCTTCTGTAAATAGTGGAAAAAACCTTTTACAATAATTTGAATCCATGAATAAACTTAATATATCAAAATTTCACAAGTACAAACACTAAATGTTTTTGTACATGAGCCACATGAGTGGAATATCCAGGACTGAAATTATTTGACTGACCAAATGAAGACAATATATAATTAAAATGACATCTGCAGCACTAATCGATGGGATGAGAGAAAGTGACATCACCAATCTCATATAAGCTGCAAGCGTATTATTAGATCTAAACCTGGCTGTAAAATTACTATCTGCCCATGGGATTATCCTTAGGCATTCAGAACCATTGTTTCATTTACTGATAGAACAGGGATGATAGCAGGCTGACTTTTCTTGTCACATTGTTTTTCGGCCTTTCTTTATTCTTCGTTCACATTAGCTGCAGATGAGATGAAGACAAGCTTCAGCTGAATCACTTTCACGGAGCTTTTCATTGTTTTACAGTTTGTTGCACAGGCTTTTTTTCTTGGCTTTTTTCCCCCAAAGGGAAAAAAAACAACACAAAAGCATTTTTAATGGTGATACAATCAATGAGGAGTAAGAGATGCACACAATGTAACACCTAGGAATATGGTAACCTGAGGAGTACCCATTGGCCCAATGCAGCACAGGAAGACCAGAAAACTTTGATTATAGCTCCCACTATTAGCACAAAGAACCACCTATTGGCTATGTCTTGGCCTCATCAAAATTCAGTGCCAAACATTACATTAAACATTAAACCTCTGCTCCATCAACGACTGAAACCTGCAAACAGTCTGCATATACAGAGAATGCTGCCTCCAGCTTTTGTCACTACAATCTTTATTTTCTTTGTGTTTTCTCCTAACCATGCCCACCTGCTGTCCTTCATCTTAGTCTGCAGGTTGAGGGAGTGACCACCCGTAGTGTAGTGAAGGAATCAGACCTCACTGCTACTGCCACAGAAATACATTGCATTTTATTAATGGTAGTTAATGTATTAACGTATTAATATATTAACTACTTTTAATCCACATTAGATTGTTTAATTGTCCCTTTTATCTTTTCACAATCTTTTCATGCAGACTACTTCAGCATAAAAACATTCAAAACAAACATTCAAACAGCATTCAAAACCCTCCATACATGTAGCCACACCAGTACAGCATTAACAGCTAACTCTGGATCTCTACACTAGAAATGAGCATCTTAGATACACCATTCTTGTTAGAAAATATTCCTTCACTGCTCAGCCTGGGCCAGGAACTATGTTTACAGATCACAATTTTTTTGTGGCTGGTCGGTGATGCTTACAAAGTTTTGGATGTAAAGAGGGATGGAGACAAAGACCTACCAGGCTAGGCTAACTGGGGCCAAAGACTCATCAAGGCGGACTGGAGAAAAGACACAAAGCATGTAGTGATAAAGCACAACAAACACAGAAGTGAGACTTCACTGCAGAAAAAGTCAAAGAAAAAGAGCAAAACATGCAACACAGCAAAGAGCAGCAATATCTTTGAAAATCAATTTGATTTTTAAATGTGTCTTGAATGAAACGTAGGGCAAACTAAAATTACTTTTCTTATTCCTGAAAGGTGAAAGCTGTGGGGCTAAGCTGTGAGAAAAAGTAAAAAAGATCCATTCTCACCTATGCTGTTACCCCATCAGAATTGCTCTTCATCTCAAAGTAGGAAGAAACTTCTCTTACATTTCAATATTAACAGCTTCTTAATGTGTATGTTGTAGTGTTTCATGTCAATTGATACTCAAAACTTGTCTCAGTTACCTTTAAAGTGGAATTCTCGTTGATACTCTTTGTTTCTTACTACACATCCATAATTAAGTAGTTAACTTATTTTTAGGGATATTATGTGCAGACTGCAGACAACAATGGTCCAAAAGGACAAGTAGACCTGAAGAACTTTTGTGTCACAGAACTGAAGCAGAAGCCTAAGTTCCAAATGCTTTGTATACCAAAAAACAGACTTTCATAAGAATGCATGTGCGTTCAGATACTTCATAAAACAACGGTGATTAATACAAAACAAAATAATAAACAACCCAGAATTGCCTTATGCCCAGATGAAAGAGAAATACATGGGTAACAAATGACTTGCTAATAATGCATACTTACTAGTTTGCATGCTTCAGGTAGAATTTACTACCTTTATCTTTAGCCATCTCCATATCAAGTGTCTGCCCTTAAACAGACATTCAGGTTCTTTCCATTTTCAAAAGCAGTAGGAACTGTCACAGGACTATATAAAAACTACCTCAGCTCCTACGTAATGACTGGCTTGAAACAGTCAGTGGGGAGCGCCCTTTTTCTGGTGGTTAAGGAAGAGTAACATAGATAAAACACCTGACTTAAATATGAGGAAAAAATTCTGCAGGGTGAATCTTTTTCGGTCTAGAAATGGGGTTGCAAAGTCATTCCAGATGTAACATTTTCTGCATCCTTATTTAAACAGAAAAACTAAGAGAAGCAGTCTTTCTCATAATATGTTAATATCAACAGCAAGCCTGGTTGATTGTGCATAAACCTAAAAATGAATAAAATATTTGCTAAATTCCTCTGAATTTACTATCTCAGACTGCATTTGCTTTTTCACTGAGGCTTGTGCCACTTCCAGCTTTTCCTCAAAATGTTTGCTTATCCATGTATTTATCACAGAAATGGCCTTACCTCAGCTGCATCTTGCTGGTCTCTGAAGACAATTGCATTTTTTATGGTTTGGATAAAAAATCCATTCAGTTCCTTTTGTTTCTTGTTTGGCAAAATCCGGAGCAATGGGATCATTATGAATGGGAAAGAAACTGTAAGAGATTTTAAAGAAAACCCTGAGTCATACAGACAGAGCATATAATATCCCTCCCTTTCATTAATATTATAAACTATCAAGTGGGATGTAATATTTTTGTGAAACTTTTTTTTCCCTCTTTCTCTCTCTCCCTCACCCTCATTTTCTTCCACATCCATGGACTGCTAAGGGATTTCCTTTAAGAAATTCCATGTTAGCTATGACTCCCCTAACAGATCCTTTCCAAGTTTGCTTCCACAATGCTTCTGGAATCCAGTTCGGCTTCTTGATGACCCAAAGCCACTGTTACAAAGGGGAGAATTATTTTCCCTACCTACTCTAACAATGACGTACAGAAGGTTGGAGATCTTGACCTAGCCCAGCAGCTTATGGCACTGATCTATGAAATTGTGTAGTAGTCATTCTCATTTACAGTTCTCTAATATTAGGATATTCGTTTGCTGTTTTATTTTGCTTCGCTAAACAGGCCACAGACTCTGGAAATGGGATGTTATCATTAGGATGGTCTCTAGTCCATGGCTTTTATAGTCAGAAACTAGAAACCTGACTGAAGCCCTGCATCTTAATTACTCCTCATTAACTTTTGAACTTATGAACTTGCCAACAGGGCAACACAGTGTGGAAATTCAGATCACATAATGTACCAGTAGAAAGAGATGAGCCAAGGAATCAAACCCCAAACCCTATAGAAACTTTCTTTAATGGAGGACATGGTCTTAGACATATAGGTGGACATCTCTGCTCCTTCAGAAGTTAGTCACAAATCCCACTTTGCAATCAGGTTAAACATTAACCCCAGGACATTTTGCATACACAACTCCAGAAGGAAGCAGTTCTAGTGCTGCTAGTACAGGTGCAATCTGTAATGCCAGCAGGATCAGATGGGCACAGGAAACCTTGCCACTGTGCCACCTGACACTACTGTGAGCAGGTCTAGATAGCAAGATGGTAAAATCTCAACAACCTCAATTATGCTGTGGCTTCCTCAGCAACAATTCTTACTGCCCTTGCATTAACAAGGCCACCGGCACTGTGGAGCCTCAGCTTTCATACCCTAGAACTAAATGGCTTTATACCCTATTCTTGCATTTCCTATCTATTAACTTGAAAATAAATGCATTTTCTTAATGACAGCCTGTGCTGTCACTTACCATCTTTATCCTTTATAGCTATCAACCAGGCTGCTGCAGCTATTCAAATAAGAATTTGGAGGACTAATGCTATCCGATTATGCTTCTCCACCTCTTTTCTTTAGTGGGTTATTAGCCCACTGCTGTTCATGGGTGGAAATTCAATCTGTGCCAAGCAAACTGAGTGCACAAAAACTTTACTCTCAGGCTCTGAAGGGCAGTTACTCTGTTTTAATGCAGAAGTGTATTAAAAGAGATATCGTAGAAACTACAGGTCTCAGAAACCTTCCAGTCAGATCAACTTTGAGTGTGACCTTCCCGGTCCTCAGTTTCTAGAGCAAGTTGCATTAATAATGACAAGAGCTGTAGAGCATATGGTGGAAATCTCAAGCGTATACTTAGCTTGTAGGTTGCATTCTGGACACCTCTGGAATAAAGTTTGTTCTGCATCTTCCTGGCTCCTACTTCAGCACGTTTTACAATTTGAGAATGATTTTTTAGAAAATTAACAATAAGAAGTAGACAAAGGTAGACTATACTCACGGATCAGAATGAGAAGTGGCTTAAACAAAGACATTTCAAAGAATGTTCTGCAATTCTTAACAAAGGGGTCATTGGGATTCTTCTGAGAGTCCACCTCAGTACCAAAAGCTACACTACCAACAACGTCCAAGGTAAAGCAATTGTAACACCTGCATTGAGTTGAAGAATGAGAAATAATTAGCTTCAAATTACATATCCACATCTTGCTTCTACAAACATCACATAACATTCATTTGTGCCTCTGGTTTTCTTTTTGCTTTTAGATTTGAGCTTTCCCCACAAGAGATCTTTCCATCATTCTGAAAAATGCTGGTGCTCAATAACAATAAAAAAAATTATGAAAAATAAACAGTTTCATTTGTTATTACCCAAAAATCAAATGCAACAGGTCAGAGATTCATAAGCATGTTCTCAGTATGCATCCTAATAAAAAAGATCATTTCTTTCTCATTTTAAACTGCAGAAACCACATCTACCACAAGTCCAGTCTAAATTCTCAGTGACAAGAGCTGCTTAAGTAAAATTTCCTGTTAAGGATTTCCTTCTTCTTGATAGCCCCTTTGTAATGTAAAATCATGGTCAAAAACAAGAGGAACTGACACAATGTGAAATATATATCTTTGCAGAGGAGCAGCAAATGCTTTCGGAACTACAAGAAATCTGCAGATCATGATCTAGAAACTTCAGAACTTCCTGAATCTCTCCCCGCGTATCTGACCATCTATCCAGTTGTTTCACCATCTTTATTTCTACTGAGCATTAGCAGGTATATTTGGTTTTGAGATAAATGGACTAAGAATATAAAATATCCTTGAAATTCAGTTCTTCTGATCTGCGGTCAAGTCTGCAGTGACTGTTCTTCTATGTGTTCTTACAAAAGACTAATACCAAATTCTCTGGTGTTTTAACCTGAGTAAGCATGTATTCAGAGGACAGGACTCAGGCCCAGTATATCACATATACATATATACATATATACATATATA